GCACTGCCACCCACCACCTCCTGGGTGAGTAGTGCTTACACTGGCTGTTCAGAAATGCGCTTTTGTGGTCGTTTCTAAGGACAAGTTCTTCAATACTGACCCTCTGCAGCTTCACCTTCGCCCTGGGGTGGTTGGAGCACTCTGCCTGTCCGCGCACGCTCTGCAGAGCAGCTGTAGCGGGGACGGGGCACAGAGGTGGGCACTTTCTGCCAGGTTGCGGCAGAGGTAGAGCTGAGGGACCAAGACAGCCCTTTCCTCAACACAAATGGGCTGAATCTGCTTCTGTCTGATGCAGGGACGGTGGCTCTTACCCTGGGGCACCCTAACTGCACGCCTGCCCTTTTTTAGCTGGGTCTTACCTTGCTGTAGCATGAGCTGTTTCGGTGGGGAGGGTTTTTCTTTGACCCCCTTCCAGGCAAAAATGGATATTTCAGGGGCCTGCGATTGCAGAGGACTTGATCTGATGGCAGATGTGGTCCCTTCTGGCTCTCCAGCTTGAGAGAAGGAGTGCAGGACTGCTGCTGGCTCCCCGTTGCTGGGGCTGTGCACCCCAAGACTTGCCCTTCAGCTGCAGCAGCACGGCAAGCCCTGGGCTGGGGGGGCCAGCGCATCCTATCGAGGTGGGGGCACACGCATACTAGTCCTTTTGTGCGTTAGCAGAGGAAACGCTGCCTTGTATAAATTTACATATGACTTGGCAAAATGTATGTTTGTGTCATTTCTGCAAGAGCAGCAGCCGGCTCTGCTGCTTACACATTGTGGCGGTAATAGAGGTGCTTGAGTTATAGTGAAACTTATTTCATTTTACAGCTCCTACAGCGTTAACAGATGTACAGGCGTCTGATCCAATCATGCAGCAAGAGATTTTGGGGCCAGTTCTTCCAGTTTTGACAGTGTGTAAGCTAGGAACAGCCATACATTTTACAAACAAGAATAAACGACCCTTAGCAACATATGTCTGTGCTGGCAGCTCCAATGTAATCATAAATAAGGAACCCTGCTAGGCAGGAATGTATCTGGGCTCTGCATACGGTCAGTATGGACAAAGCATCTGCCTTCCTCCCATTATATTAATGAGGTGCAGGCACTGGAATCCCTATGCTGTACAGCTGGATTTGCTGGGTGGGGACAAAGGACCTGGAAAAACAAATGCTAACCCAGAGCAACAGAGCTTTATTTGTTTTAAAGCCTGTATTTCATTTTAGTGACACTTCACTCCTACCCGTCTCCTGCCTGCTGTCTCGCCAGGCTCTCGTGCACTGCTGCATGCTGCTCCGTGATCGGTAGCAGGCACCAGCTCGGCCGTGCTAGAACGTCTTCGCTGAACTCGGTGCACAAGGTCCCTGCTTCACCCCAGTGTCCCCCCACCACTGGCCTCTGCTCCCAGCCCAGTGCGGAGGATGCACCGGGGCCGAGGACCTGAGCCTTGCTGCAGCTCAATGGCCAGCGGCTCCCCTGTACCTTGGGGGACAGCATTCAGGACAGAAAGGTCCCTTTCATACAACTGCGTGCTGTACGACGAGGTGGTGAAGCAGTTCACTGCACGCTGTGATCTCCCAAAGGCTCGAGCGTGGCCCCCGTGGAGCTCTGCTCTGCTGAGCTGCAGCAGCCTGTGGGGCTGGGACCAGGCTCAGCCTGATCTATGCTCGCTCCTAAATTCGAGCCCTGGCCCACTGTGCCTGCTTAACTGAAACAACAGGGTCACCCCAGACACCAGCCTCCCCCTGCTTCAGCCCCGCAGAAACAATTGCACAGAGGTCTTTGGGTAGAAAGGGAGAAGGGGGGAGCTGGAAGCTGAGTGCACCCTAATAAATTTAATCTCTACATCATGTTAAAGTGTAGTAGCTAAATTTATTTCTCCTTGCAATCAAAACAATACTAGCTTTGGTCCCAAAACAGTAGTGAGATTTCTTCCCCCCAGCTGGAAAAAAGTCTTTGGGTAGAAAGGGAGAAGGGGGGGAGCTGGAAGCTGAGTGCACCCTAATAAATTTAATCTCTACATCATGTTAAAGTGTAGTAGCTAAATTTATTTCTCCTTGCAATCAAAACAATACTAGCTTTGGTCCCAAAACAGTAGTGAGATTTCTTCCCCCCAGCTGGAAAAAAAGAAAATACTATAAATCCATCCCAGAGCTGATTTATATAGCATTCATGAAGAATTTATATTGCAAAGAATTTTATTCAATTAAACTTGAAAAGCCTCTAGATTCTTAAGGTTCAGTAGTAATCACTGAGACAGAGCTATCATAAAACTGGATGGCCTGTCTGGAGCAGGCATTGAGAAAATGTCTGATGTGACATTGCAGCTGACGGTACAGTCCAAATCAAGAGCATTTGTCATTGGGATGTGTTACAGGCTGGGGCTTGGAAAATTACTCTGTGAAAAATGTGCATTAACAATAGCCATGAAATATCTGTTTAAAAAAAAAAAAAGGGTGAATAATGAGACAGCGGTATCTATTAGCGCTGGGCATTCTTCACTCTGACCCCACTCTGATTAAAAAGTTAACACAAAAACCAGAGACTCTTCCGGGAAGCAAGTTTAAGGTTGTTTCTACTTAAATAATTGAACAGAGGAGCTGCATGACTGACTGAAAAGCTCCCACCACTGAAAGCGGCACCCTTAGCGCAGGGCAAGCACCCTTGGTGTGTCATCACCTCACCGCCCACAGGTTTCCGTGACGCTCCTCCATACGAGGAGGGGAAGACTTAAACCACCATGTCTGACGTGTGTTCTTCCCAATTATATTTCCAAGCTGTAAGTGGCTTGGACATAACTGTAAAACTGTAATTGTCTGTATTCTCTATGAATACAGACAATTCTCTACGAATTCTCTAACATAGAGTATGTTTTTTGCAGTTTTCAGTCCATCAGGAAGCTGGAAGAGGATGTCGTCTCTGTTGAAGTACTGTGATCTGCTATCGCGATGTTTGCAGCCAGATTCTCCAACCTCTAGGACATGCTCTAGCCTGCTCTGCTGAGGGCTCCGTGACAGTGACACTCACTGAGGTCAATGCGGACGTTAATGTGTGCGAGATACGAACCCCTTCAGGTGTTAGCCTCTCTCTCCCAACTCTAGCTGTCAGCTGAGGAGGGGCCAGGCCCCTGCTAGTCATCACAACCCCTTTATCTGCAAATTTAGGGACTTGCGTGGTCCCCAGCAGAGAGATATTAAACTACACAAGGGCTCTACTCCTTCAGCTGGTACCTGCAGCCAGAGCAGGATGCTGTCACCAAACCGAGAGGGGTCTGTGCGCTCGGAGGGGCAGCTGCACGTGGAGTTAACCCCAGCTACCTAAACGGAGCTTAGAATCATAGAATCATCTTGCCTGCACATGACCTGTAGGATTTGGCCCTTCCTCCTTTAATCCCTATCCTGCGTGAGCTCCATTCCTGGCAGAGGATGCACTGGATTGTCAGCACGGAGACATTCGTCACATGCATAAAGAGAGGCAGCCAGAGCCAAAGAATTCTTAGTGCATTCCTGTAAATCTACACAGCTCAGCTTCAGCCAGGGCTGATGGATTGAAAGCAACTTAAAAAAGAAAAGCACGCTGGGCTCAGTATTAAAGTATGACAGTTAAGGGCCCTTTGGTACAAGTAAATCACATTTATTATTTCAAAGCTTGTGGACAGAGTTCCTGAATCTCTACACAGTTGCTGTTCTGTACGAGCATTACAAAGAGAAGCTGATTGTTTTCTCCTCTTCATTCCTCAGAGTCCTGTCAAAGCCTTTCCACAGCACCTGCCTCTGCCCAGGGAAATTAAGACATCTCTAGAAATCAGCTGTAGTTCTTTGAAGTCTCCTGCCTCAGCTCGAACCCAGGGCAAACAGTAACTGATGCCATCGCCACAGTGTTATACAAGGGATATTTGGACAAGGGCCAGTGAACAGAACAGCTGTGTTCCTCCCAGTATTTATGAAGAAGGTCCTAGTTATTTAAGCTGGAAGTTCTTGGCAGCTCACGTTTCCAATCCAGGCTTGTTCTCTTTTCCTTCCTTGATCCTGCCTCAGCTCGAACCCAGGGCAAACAGTAACTGATGCCATCGCCACAGTGTTATACAAGGGATATTTGGACAAGGGCCAGTGAACAGAACAGCTGTGTTCCTCCCAGTATTTATGAAGAAGGTCCTAGTTATTTAAGCTGGAAGTTCTTGGCAGCTCACGTTTCCAATCCAGGCTTGTTCTCTTTTCCTTCCTTGATGGATGGATTTTGCTTCCCATGATCAACGAAACAAACATTCCAACTCCCGGTTATGGTTCAGGCTTTACGTATATTTTCTCTTCCTTCCCTTCCTTCATTGCAGCGTAACGTGCCAAAACGAAGAGATAGTCGCTCAGTCTGGAAACCAAGGGAAAAGCAGTGAAACCACCTCTCGCACCAGGTGTGTTTGTATCCAGCAACACACAACTACACAGCAAAGCACATTTGATTACAGCACAAGAGCTGCAGGTAAAGGAAGGCAAAGAGAGACCATGCCAGAAGTGATTTCCAAAATGGCCTTCAATAAGAAAGTTAAGTCACTGCTCCCTCAGCACCCCAGCAGTGTCTGTAAACATACTTTGCAGCCTTGCAACAGTACTTTTTAACAAGCTGCTTGTTGAAACTTCAAAGATCTTATTCTAGAAGGGAAGCTTCTTGAGAGGTAAAACCCACAGTTTTATCCCAAGACTAAGGGAACAACACAGGCACACTTCAGTCGTACAGAGTAAGGGTTTGGGATTTTTTTTTTTTACCTGTTCAAGTATTTGGCCACATTTGCATCTGCTTCCCCTGCTTGTACTAAAGGAACCACGCTAGAAGAAGAAAAGGAAACGTTTAGTGTATTTAACTTTCTAGCTCTGAATGCACAAATGACTGTGATTTGCTGGAACACCAACCTTCACACCCCAACCTCACCTGGAGTCCCCCTGCTAACTCCCCACAGCACAGTTACTTCCCCAAGAAGAATCTGTGGTGGCCACATAACGCAACTAATTTTTGTAACTATTCTGGAGGACTGCAGCTCCACTCCTGTAAAAGGCCACTCATCAGTGGGTATCACTGAACAACGGGAGCAGTTTGCAGGTGATTAATACCCTGAAGGATCATTATCCTTTTCTGCAGGTAAACAGGGACCCTTCTTTTGTTGAGGGAACAGAGCTGTTCCTTGCCGCCTGACGGGTGTACAGCCCTCATTCTAGCTTTCTTTTGACAAGAAACCACTGACTGTGGTGTTAGTTTTTCGAAGATGACGCTGCTCCAGTGTATCTTGTCAGAGTAGCAATCCTTTCAGCAGAGCACATACACAGAAACATGTTCCTGCACATCAGCGGCTTTGGTAAAGAACCCCCAGCAACTTAGAACTGCTCATGAGCAGGTTCCGGCTAACACAAGAGATTCTGCATGGAAGTGATTTAATGAGCAGACAAGAGTTTTCTCCTACGGACCTTACCAGGGGAGCTTTAATCTCCAATAGAGAAGTGGGACAAGGTAGGTGTGGGCAGTAACATCTTAAAGCTTCCCCGGATCTCACACCTGCCAGTGCCCTAGCTTCCATGTGTGCTAGCCTATAAAATACATTTAGCAAACCAGATGCGAGCTGAACACGTAGATGGATCTCAACGTAAACCTGTCTGTTCTTTCTGAAGTTCTTAGCTCAGATGACCGAGTTCAGGGGAGGGAAGAGAGACTCCTGGAATTTGACTAACACAAACATACGAAGCTTGACTCAAGCTCTAGTCGAGTGCAATACAGCTACAGTTGATTGCTCCAACTGCAACGATTTGCTATCATTGTAGCATTCTGATCACCTTTTATCAATTTTATTCTGTTACACTACAGCCAACACTCACCACCTTTCAGCTCTGCGGCAGACAGCTCGGGAAAAATGGAGAGCAGCACTGCTTTTACCTCCTGACTGAAACAACAATGAAACAGCGCATCAATGTCTGCTAACAACAGATATAGCCATCCACCTTATTGTATAACTGCAGCAAAGCTTATCACATCTCGCACACACATGCAACTGAACTCTATATTATGGCTAGGCAGCTGGGAAGAGATATCTGAATGCAGTAGGATGTGGAAATTTAACTCAACCAGGTCCTTCTCTCTGCTTTTCTTTTGGTATTTGTCCATGCAAATAATGGTCTCACAACCTGTTTTCCCGCAGCAAGTGGCAGAGCAGATTTATCCTAACAAAGCGAGCCTTCTCCAGTCAGTGAGAGGCATAAGCAGTACCTACTGGCAAGATGAAAGCTCTGAGCGGAGGAAGCTGCTCTGAGTAACTGTCAATCCACTGCTCCAGCTCCAGAACTGGCTTCTCACTAAAAGATGTTCGTTCTACAGAGGGAAAAGAATCAACTAAAAGAAATGCAGAAGCAATTCAGTCTACAGATAGAGCTCTACTTCCGTATTTCTTGGATCAGTAAGTCCTAAGAAAGCATCCCAAAAAAATCCTCCTGCTAGAGCAGGGCTGGCTCCCCATTCAGCAGCTGTGGCTGGGTGTCAGTGCTGGGGCAGCGCCCCAGGCCAGCTTACATCACTTGAGTCACACCCAGGCAGCAGCAGCGGCTCGTGGGACCATGTGTGACTTCATTCAGCACCAGACACACACTGCAGAGCAGCCCTTGGGCAGCTCTAACTACCACATACCGGAACAGCCTCCCCAGCACCAGTCTAGAAGGACAGCTGTGACTCAAGAACTGTTATCCCAGGAAAGGTACTGTGAGGCTTACTTAAGTGAGCCTTCCTGGCTGAGGAGAGAGGCGTCGCGATGTTGGAGCCCACATCCTGCAGCATACACTGGACCTAGATGTGGCAATCAGGACAAAAATAAGAAACGCTGTCATTAACCAGCCTTTGATGCTCCGGTACAACTGCAGCAAGCTCTGGGATACGACAGCTGGTTGTGGTGATTAAAGAAGATCCTACCCTTGTTCATCATGCCCCAGCCTCCTGGCAGGGGGGATCAGATAAGTGCTCCCTAATTGCTTTATGAGAAGCCAGATTAGCACATGTACTTGTTTTCACTGGCACATTAAACCACCCTGGCTGACTTTGCAGAAAGCAGACTGGAGAGTGCTCACATAATCCCTTTACTGGTAGGACACCGAACCAGAAACCTCTGGAAGAAAGGCAGTGACAAACAGCTGCAGGCAGCGCTGGCTTCGTGTCACATCTGCTTCCAAGAGGGGCATCTCTCCATAGCCAGGGATACTTGAGAGGCAGTCTGGTAAAGCTTTTTGAAATCTCTGATTAGGTCTTTCTGCATTCTTGTGCACAGCGAAGCTGATTAGCAAAACTCACAGATTGCCACGGCGGGACCCGTCTCCCACCATCGTACCACGTGGTTACTTTGCCCCCATTTCAAATCTGAGGCTATGTGACAACGAGGCTTGTGTCCATAACTGTGTGGTAACAGGTCTGAATAAATCTAGAGGTAGGTTTGTCTGCCCATAACTAATCACTTGAGCTACCAGTTTCCTTCTTTGTTAAAGAAATTTGTTTCTTAGAGAGTAATCAAGGGTCAAAGTCTTAAGTATTTATTTATTTTAATACTAAATTTATTAAATTCCTGTGTCTCAGTGCGAGCACTGTGTCTAAAATGAAATAGTTTAAGAATACGTTTCAACAGCACAGATGAAGTGACTGCACTGGGAGAGGATTATCATTAATACTCACTTTGTGAAGTTGTTCAACAAATGCGTGGCCCTTTTCACTGCTAAATTCACCAGCAAGCCTAAGTTTAAAAAAAAAAAAAAAAAGCAGCGTTAGCTGGAAATGAGAAAATTACCACCATTGTCCACATGAAAAACACAGAATTTGGACACTCCTGGTTGTTCGTCAGTGCAACCTTCCGGAGAAGTTTGGTCCACAGCGTGTCCCCTTCCCTCCTGCCGGGCGGTGGGGCTGGGAGAGCCGTTCTTAAGGGAAGAGGCCGCCCAGAAGACCCCCGCAGAAGGGGGCTGGGACGGTCTCGCTAGGCCTTCGTGCCTGTGGAGGGCCTGGGAGCTCCCCGGGCCGGCGGCGAGTTCCCCGGAGAGCACGGCCACCCCGGCAGGACGCGGC